TGAGAGGCACAGTGAGAGGAAGTGAATCTGAAGCCAGGCAAAAACTGCCCGTTCCTCAGAGCAACTCCGTGAGTTAATGCATGAAGCACAGTTTGAAGTGGTATGCTGCAATTGCGAAGAATCGTAAATAAATAAATCACAAATAGTTACTGTCCTGAAAAGAGCACACAAACACACAAAAATCAGAGAGGAGAGAGTCCAGGAATAAATGCGAAACTTTTGCTTACTCACGGAAAACATTTTCTGTGATGAGAAGTGAAATCTGAAAGCCAAACAGAAAACCTCCTTTGTTCAGAGCTGTGTTCCAGGTTGATTCATCCAAAGCTTGGATTTGTGCATTTCACTGATAATAAAGGAGAAATCTCCCCAGTACACCTTTAAGTGGGTGACCAGGACACGTTGGTTTTGCAAAGCAAATATGTTCTTTGAGGGAAAGGGAAGGCTAAAGGGGGGTGGGGAGAAGGGAGACAGTCCCTAATTACATACTTGTGCAAATGTTGTGCAAATGAGAAGATACAAGTGGTTGGGAAGAGCAGGAAGGCATTGGATTAGCTGTAGCATGTCATGGATTGAGTGAGGCCAGTGGAGGGGAGTAGAGAAGGAATAGGGGCTTTGAAAGAACAAAGAGGCCAAATTCCATGAACAGAGTTCAATGCTAACACCATCCTTGCTTGTCTTCTTTCTGCTTCAATTCTGCTTCCATTCGCAAAGGAAATCACGCAGGGGGATAGGAAGAGAAAGTGTCCCTTTCTTTTTTCTCTGAGGGAACATTTTGCTTCCCTCAAATACCCAGATTTTGGCATTTGGGGGGCTGGTGGATTCTGTTGGCTTGTTTTCCAGTTTTTCTGCTATGATGCAGCCGAAGCTTTTGGGAGGTCAGGAATGAGAAAGACAATCTGGAGGGCTCATGAGACAGAGGATCCGCGAAGGATGGAGAGAGAGATTTATATGGGAGAAGGGGATATTTTAAAAACACAATAAACAACATATTAAATAAAAGAAGAGAGTGGTTTCAAATTACATCTCACACTACTGGAAATCACAGTCATCCATTGAAAATAAAGGAGAGGTGATAAAGTAAGGGTTATTCTCACTGCAAAATAACAAAGCAGAAGCATGAGAGGGAAACTTTAAAACCGAAATAGCTCCCATCCTTTTTTTCTATCAGGAAACCGAGAATGAATGAAGAATAGAGCAGCGTTGCCCAATTCTTTTACAGTAGTCCTGATCTCCTTCGGAACAGAAGGCCTGATGATTCCATTTGAAGTATGAAAAAAAGAAGTTTGCCCTCTCCAAACCTCCAGATCAGTCACCTTTCCAAGCCTATTTGTGATGAGGAAATGAAAGAGCAGCTTTGATTTCTCACTACACCTGCTGTGATCTTCTGGAGCTGAGTCACGTCTTCCCAGCCTCACTTCCTCTCTTGCAATACAAGCATCTCCCTGGAGGACCAGGCCTGCTTCAGCTGATCATGTACACCAAGGGGCAATATTGCCCCACAGAATCCCATTTTACCCATGTTGGAGGGGCAGGAAAATAAAACCAGGATTTCCTGATGGGGTTTCAATTCTTAGACTAAATTATTCTCTTGGTTGGTGGCTTCAGAATTCATAGAGATGGTCCCATGTCAGTTCTGCTCCTTAAGAAGCTACTCTTCTCTCCACAAAACCAAGGCATAGTTCACTATAGTCCTCTTTTTATGACCATAAAGCTAACTGAATTTTTAGGAGACCACAAGGGGACCTATTCAACTCTTTCAGACAAACTGTTTGGTCAGGAAGTGATTTCTTGGTTTTACTTTTTCATTTGCAAAGATACAGTCCTTGTTCCTTGGAAATTATTCTTGGTTGTGTAGCTAGCATCAAATTAACTTTGTTGGCATTAACAAACCATGGTAGCTTATCAATAATGGGTGAAGTGTCATATGCTGTCCCACTCCAGCTCTAATGTGGCAATTAAATAATTCTGTATGGGTGTCTGTGCATGTTAGTTTTGAGTTTTGATTCTGAAAACACTTTTATGAATTGGAGCTTTTGCAAAACATGCATATACCTTCCTGCCTTGAAAACCTGCACCTCTTTGTATAGGAATTTGAAGATATTATCTTGATGGGCTTTTGATTTCTTCATCATCTAAATATCATTTGTGTAATATATGCTCAAGGAAATATAGAAGCACAGGGTAGCACTTTGATTCCCAATGCTATGTAAATTCAGGAGCAGTTTCCTGATCAAATTATTTATATGTCCTTAAATGTTTCAAGACATAGTTTTACCTCCTATAAATAAACCTGCCGGTTAACTTATTTCTTAAGAAAGTAAAAACTGTGTCTTGACTGATGTTGGGACTTGTTCAGCATTGGAAAACCATATCTAAATTGTAGGATGAAGGAACTCTAATGGTCAAAGCAGTGCGTGGCTCTTTTATCCTGAGGGCTATGGAAATTCAATGACAGCTTCCTGCTTAAAGGAGCCATATCGTCCTCCTCTCCTGCTATACCCAACAACACAAAGTTTGAGTGCTTGCCTGAATATTTTCTCCTTCGATCTTTAGAGCAAAAATGACACTCTGGCTAAACCTCATGTTGTTATTGGTAGTCCTTTGAGGTATTATCTTCCCCTCCAAACAGAGGAGCGTTTCCTCCTTTTTTATGGTTTCCTGCAGGAGGTTTTTTTAAACAACGTTTCTTTCTAGGTGTCCAGTCAGAGGTCCAGTTGGTGGAGTCTGGGGGGGATGCGAGAAGACCTGGAGATTCCCTCCGTGTCTCCTGCCAAGCCTCCAAAAATCTAGTATACTCACTTTTGGTTCTCCACAAGGACTCCTTAAATCTCCTGAAGGTCAACCATTTCTTCCCAGAATCACTTTCCCTCTTGCAGTGCAAGCATGTCCTGGACAATCTATCTCATGTTGCTACTATTCATCTTTCACAATGCAAGGCAGTTATGTCACAAAAAAGAAATTGGCCAAAAGAGAGGCAGCTGAACTCCTCCTGGGACTACCATTTTCTCCGTATATCCAAGGGGAATTCTCTCCAGTGCTTTTCTCTTGAATGTAAAACAAACTGAATTTTTGGGATAATGCAAAATGATGTATTCCTCTCTCTCAGTCCCCTGAGAGAGTGTTTGATCATAATGTGATTTCTTGGTTTTGATTTTGGGGAGGCTCAAGACTCAAGAAGCCATCACTGGATCCCACCATACTGGACAGGTTTTGTCTGGTCTCCCACCTCCCCGTTTTAGTGACGTGGTTGAGAAGGTGGTGGTGTTGCAGCTCCAGAGGATCTTGGAAGAAACAGATTATCTGGACCATTTTCAGTCAGGTTTCAGGCCCGGATATGGGACAGAAACAGCATTGGTCGCACTCATGGATGATCTCTGATGGGAGTGGGATGGGGGTAGTGCGTCCATCCTTGCTCTTCTCCTCTCAGCGGCTTTCAACACCATGGACCCTTTTGGTATCCTTTTGGGTTGACCTAGGGAGTTGGGAGTGGGTGGCAGTTTTGTGCTGGTTGTTTTCCTTCCTCCAAGGCCGATCCCAATCGGTCTTGATTTGGAGTGAGAGGTCCAACCCATGGTCCCTCCATTGTGAGGTGCCACAGGATTCAGTACTCGCTTCACTCCTTTTTAACATCTACATGAAACCACTGGTTGAGATCATCTGCCACCATGGGATGAGGTATCATGAATATGTAGATGATACCCAGTTATACATCTCCATCCAGGTGAGGTGAGTAACGCTGTGACCACCCTTTTGTGGTGTCTGGAGGCTGTGGGGGTCTGGATGGGGTGCAACAGGCTTCAGCGGAACCCTGATAAGAAGGAATGGCTATGGATTGGACACCCCTCTGTATCCAGGAGTATACCAAATATGTGTATTCCTTAAAATTTCCATTTAAAAGTCTCCAAATACCTTGTAAGTCCAACATGTCTTTCAAATCAAAGAATGTTTGGGGTAGTTTTCCTCATTTAAGTCTCAGCCCTCTTGGGGACTGTTTGTCTTCCATTGGAGAGATCACCTCATTCCAATCACCCATAAGGCACCAATTCTCATATTGTAACTCCATCAATTTGTCCCTTAAATTTTAATAGAATATCCCTTTATCAACATTTGGGGCATACAATCCAACAACTAGTGTTTTAACCCCTTGTATACTAACTTCAACTGCCACATATCTTCCTCCGTCATCAGTCAGTATGAGTTGTGGATTCAATTTTGATTGTATATACAAAACAACTCCTTTAGTCTTTTTGGTCCAGCCGACACGAATTCTTCTCCAAATTGTTTCTTAACTAAGTACTTAATGTCTTTTTTACAAATATGAGTCTCTTGCAAACAGATTATATCCCAGTTCAATTTCTTTAAAAAGTGAAAAATTTTCTTTCTTTTTTGAGGAGCATTCTTTCTTTTTTGAGGAGCATTCTTTCTTTTTTGAGGAGCATTCTTTCTTTTTTGAGGAGCATTCTTTCTTTTTTGAGGAGCATTTGCTCCATTTATATTCCAGGTTAAATATTTGTAATCCATAAGTATGTTTGTATTAAAGTCTTTTATAATTTTCTTTTCTGGGTCTTTTCTGGGTTCCACTCCAGAAGCCCCAAGAGTCCTCCCATTTTCTCTCTAGTGTGGCTATTAAAGAATCCTTGATAAGTCCTTGTCCATCTTAAATTTGAGATGTGATTCTAGAAACACTTTTCTGAATGGATGAATCTGGAAGACATCGTTTTACTTTCTATAAAATAAGCCTCCTGCTTCACATATTTCTTAAGGATTAA